CCAACTATTTGAAAGGGAATCTGCCGCAGAGAGGAGAGGACATGCAGTGACTTAGCTAAAGAACTGTAAATTGTAGAATTGTAAGAATTGTAAATTGTAAATTAATTGTTCATTTCAGTCCATTTTCAGTGTCTCCTTGTAATTGGTGGGCTAATTGATGGACAGAGCATGTCTTTTGTCAACCAAGAAGTTCTTTAGTCGTTTACAGCCCCAGTGATGAATGATGTCATGTTGCATCCGCTCACTCCCTTAAATAGCCAGCTCTTAAGTTATGGAGTTACATTAAAAGTGCGGTATTACAGATTGAGTAAAACATTCCAGCTGAAAGCATTACACATCAGAAGAAAAGTATTTATAAATGAAGTAAAGATTTAGTCTGGCAATGGACAAATGAAAAATGTATGACGGCAAATGAAGACCCCAGTGTTGTGTATTGTGAACCAAGTCTTGAAGCTGTTAGTTGCGATGGACGGCTGCTTGTCATGTCTTCACTTTGAAATGTCCTGCAAAGTGGAGTTGTCTTTCAAACCAGCATTTGAAAGGAAGGGCTTTAGCGGTGTAATTACTCTATAATGAGAACTCCACTGACCTCCTGCCACGTCTTGGACATTTTTTTATTTACTCATCTCCCTAATATTGGACAGATGGAAACCGCCTGTCTGTCCAACTTGTCCACTATTTTGATTTGTCCTGTAACAGCTGTCCCTTTGCATAGGATTCTCATAGGAGAATGAAGCTCAAATCCTTTCTGTACCATGACAGAAAAACCTTACGTCGTTTTGTTAAAGGCTTTTTAATAAGATCCACTGATGTACTTGTGTGTAATACTAGGCACATAGGAGCAATAGCTGGAAAACACCTGCCACCTGATTGATGGAACTATAGTGATAGACTTCCAAGGCAGTGAATGCGCCCCAACCTGATGGTCATAAAACTCATATAAATTATGATATTATTTTTTATTCATCAATAATTATAAAAATAAATAATTTCTAATTGTCAACTTAGCCATGACATAACCTGTAAGACTGACTTCAGTTGGTATATGTTTTTGTATTTATTTTTTTGTCTACTTCTTACATTTGTCAATGAAAAATACAGCTAATAGCTATTAGCATTGACTGTATAGACATTCTATGTTTTAGCTTAGTAATTGCTTGATTTTTAGAGCAGTCTTTAAATCAATATTGTAATGTGTTGCCTGAGAGTTAAAAAATGATATTAAAAACTGTTCAAATATGCTCACACTAACATATTTACTGAAAGATCACTCACTGCAGCCAATGGTATTAACTGTGGAATACTTGAGCTACATTTAACTAATTGCACTCTATTAATGGATCCAGTTTCTATTTGACTACGGCTCTGCAGCTGCCACCCCACACCAGTGATCATTTTAAATAAGTCTTGTCCATAGATTATTCTCGGTGGACATTAATTTTTTCTCAAATGTGTTACATTTTGAATTATAAAATTTGACTCTGACGTCCGCGAACCCCATGGAAGAGTATTTGTTTGTACTGGAGCCAGGAGTGAGGGCCCACTCATGGTACAGGCTGCTAACAGTGAGGACTTTATTCAAACTCCAATGTGAAATTCACTTCATTTTGCCTTCGCTCACGGTGCTCTGCAGACCTACGCTGTGATTTATAAAGTCAGGGTACACTGCACTGTAACACTTGAGCGGCTGGCGGCCTGGATAATCAATTAGCACACATACTCACAACAATTATAAAAGTCATTTTATCGTTAAGATTTACGAAACTGTCAATGTCACATAATAAAAAAATAGAGTTCATTCATTTTGTGTAATTTCATATTTTGTTTTCTGTTCTGTTTAAATTTAATTATTCAGTTGAAACATCTAACATTGTATAGTCTCAATATAGGCCTGTTTAATACGTTATTATTTATTATCATTAAATTTTTTTTATTAATCTTTAAGTATGTTTTATTTTTTCTGAAAAACAATAGCTGTGTATTTTTGATTGAGATCAGTCCGGTCCCCACACCCTTGTCGCATCTCAAGCTCGGCCAAATGTGATTGTGCAATCAGATTTTTTTTCAGTGACACATGTGAAACAAAGGCACTCACTGGTCTCCTGTCACTTACAAATAAAATCTATCTCACTTCCGATTAAAAGAGTTTAGTGCTTAACTCACTGATTCTGCTGAAATACACAATGTTTTTCAGCTTCCTGTGAAGTTTTTCTTTTATTTTTTTCTCAGTATGGACAGATCCTAGGCAAGGAGTGTGATTATTGCTTTTACTAATAGTTAATATTTTTGTGGTAATGGTGGTGCCCTTATTTTTGAAATGTTATCATAAAGGACAAAAATAAATACTTTGATTGCAGCAAAACTTCACAAATCATCTATAACCAATGTATTTTTATTAGATGCAACTTGAATAGTAACAATTTCCTTATATGTTATGTTCTATTGGTGTTAAAGACTCTGTTAAATTCATTTGGACACAGGAAACTGCACAAACTCAAAAAAGAGAGGTGAAGCGGCCGCTCCGTCTCAGAATAATTGGGATCATATGCGGCAGCGTGTGCACTTTAGCACATACATACGTTGAATTAATCAGTAATTATGCCCCCAGACCCCCAGCCTGCGCTCTGTCTAAGCACACACCTTTTGACTCCATAAACACCCGCTTCCAAAATTGAGGTCAACTTGGTCCTCCACAGCGCCATCATGCCACCAGCTTGAGTGGTCCCCTAATAATTCAATTGGATGTTCCCTCTGTGTGGATTCTTGTTGGCTGAATCTTCCCCTTGATTATAATTTATGTCAAAAACCACTGATGTCCAACAACGCCCAGGAGAGAGAAACATACTCCAGACATAATGGCACTTTGACCACTCTGTCCATGGGTTTCAGAGTGAGGAAAATATAGAATTGATGCCAAAGCAGTAATCAGTTTAAAACTGAATGTTATATGTTGAAAAGTCTTCAAATTGTCACATATAACAAGAAGATAAAACCCAAGAATAGTCAACCTGATATGCAACAGAATGTTAGTTTACTTCGACTGCCTAGATCAAACAAATAGTACGTAAGCTGTTGTGACATTTATATTTTTTCTTAAGTAATGTTATTTTGTACAGTATAGTTCTTTGTCTATAACTGACAAGGCCAGAGAGGTACAATTACTGTTCTTGAGTTTTAATTTCCAGTTATTGATAACATTTTGAGGACTTCACCATTCACAAGGTATAATATTTTGCCAATCAGTAACCCATGGGCACAAAGGAGAGATTCACTCAAACACAACATAGTTCAGAGTTGAACTTTTAACTTTAGGTTTTCATAAGAAAAAAAAAAAACTTAAAAAAAACTTACACCAACCTCTGACTGTATATTGATCAAACTAGACTTTACTTTGTTTATAGCTGTCATTAATGTTCATGATTGGGGAAAGAGTGAGGGAGCAAGCAGTGGTTGATTGAAGTTTCATAGGTTTGCATGATGAGGCCAGGACATATGTGCTAGCCCATACAGATGTTGTGCAGCAGGCTGTAGGTGAAATGGAGACCACCAGCTAGAGAAAGGTGCACTTACAAAGTCATCCCTCTGATGATTAGCAGGAATTTGAACAACCTGGTTTATGTCATTTGCAGCAAAAGTCAACCCTTCTCTAACCTCCATACCATACAGGAATGGGTAACTGTGCATGTTTTTGATATTACTTTTTCTGTTCCTGAGTCAATGCAGTTATATTTTTCTCTTTTTGTATGTCTTAAGAATTGTGTGTAAAATATCAATGTATGATGTGTTGTTGCATCTACTGTATAACATTGATAATTTGATTTGACATTTTACCTTCAAAATTAACATTAATCGGTGTTTGAATATGGAGCAGGTTTGAGCAAAAATGCTACCCGCAGGACAAGTCGATATTGTGGAGATTAAAAAAGATATGTAGACTATGTAAATATGGTCATTCATTCACAGTTAAAACAGATTCAACCTAAAACTAGCCCCACATGCTAACCATAACATCTTACTGTAAGACAAAAAGACCAAATTCTGTACCATTCACAAAGCACATTGATTCAAATTAATGTCTGCATGACAGTAGCAACTGCTTGGTCAGGCCTGTAAGCTTGTACTTTTGGATTTAATTTTGAAGTGTGTTCTTAAGGGTTGCTGCTTTCTAAAAGAATCATGAATGATCAAATAATATTTTGCGTATTGAAATATTGCACTCTCCCCAGGCGCAGAATAGTTGGAGCATCAGGCTTTATAAACTAGGGTTTCGACAAAAACATCATGCTATGAAAGTTATGACAGGCAGTATGCAAGGTAAAATGCATAGTTTGGAATGTTTCCTTTTTTTCTTGGAATCAGCATTGTGCTTGAGAGCTGAGAATCCTAAGACCATACATAAAATACTGGCTTACATTTTTACATACAAAAATAATAATAAAAAAATAGCTGGAACTTTTAATTTTTTAAGAAACCATTGGGAAATAATCTAAGTTTAAAATGATTTAGATTTATTTTTTTTTTTTTTAGATTTTTGTCTTAGCAAAAGAGCAGCTTTCATTTCCTAAAATTACATTCACTTATAAGATTGTAAGATCATCTTCAATCCTATATGCTATTGCTATTAAATGGGGTAAATGATACATATTGCTAAAATGTCTATTGCGTGAAAAAGAACACAAAAGGCTGCATTTTGTTCATTACACATTTTGTAATTTTGTTATGTATGATTTCATGTTAAATCAGTAAGGCTTTACACATCTCTGTGTTGGATGAATGCACTGACTAATGCGTCGTGTCTGTTTGTTCTGTAGCCTCACTGTTAAAACATTTAAATAAAAGAAGCATTGTATATTAGTGAAAATACATTTAATAATTAAACAGTTACATAAAAGGAATGCAAAACAAATGAAAAGTCCTTATAGAATATAAGATTTTGACCTACTGCATACATTTGAGTCCAGTCCTCAACAGCAGCTGGTAAAGGCACAAGATATGGCGGCTCACTTTGGTGTCTCTCTTCATAAAAGCGTTCCGACTTGAGTTGACTCCACACAGCTGAGGGCAGCTCCTCACAGTTTAAAAGTCCATGCTGTCCATAGATTTACACTAGTGTCCAGAGTCACTCCTCCTGAGAGCTCTCTAAGTGGCTGCCTGAAGCAGAGTCTGTGTGCTGCTCTGTGTCTGTGGCCGCTCTCTCACACAGCTGCTCACTGCTCGGGATAGAGTTTTTCTTCGGGCGCCCTTTGGGTTTAGTGGGAGACTCCAGGCCTCCTCCTTGTAGCACCTGCATAAAATACACCAGAATAAAGTGGAATATCATTTCTGTCACTCTTGTGTTTTGCTGATTTGATTATAAATCTAACTTAAAACACTTAAAAATTGAAATGCACATGCGTTTAATATCTCTGTACATTGTCCTTTCAACTAAAGACTAAACTAAACTACATGTAAATAGTTTAGACCTCAATTTTTTTCTACTATACCTTCAACAATTGCACTAATATAAATTGTATAAATGTATTATACATTTGAGAAGAAAAGGTTTTTCTCTCGTTTTTTGATACATGCTATGCGTAAAGGTACAAAAAGACCGCCAGGCAGGCGTTTAATAAATTATGTTTCCTTTTGTGCTTAAGATCTGTAAAACTATTAGCCTACATTATTTCTTATTTGTGACACTACATTGAGACAGTGACTTCCTGATCTTAGCTTGCAATGTAGATTAATGTACACAATCTACATTGCAATTCAGACGTCACTGGATTGTAACTTACAATTTTCTTCCACTTCATTCTTCTGTTTTGGTACCACGTTTTCACTTGAAGTTGACTGAGACCCAAAGATTCTGCCAGATCTATTCTGTTAATACAAACACACATTTACAAAACTTTATTTTACATTTTAGCATAGACTTCTGTTTTACTTGCTTTCATATAAAAAGAGGCCTATTGTTGAAAATTATGTTTGGATGAAATTTGCCCTCTGCGCATACAGACTTTGCTGCTTTATGAACTGGTTTTCATAAACTATATGCCTGCGTTTGCCTGCGTTGGCACTGACGCGTTCCTTGCTTTAAATATTCTATATAAAATATTCACATTTCCACATATTTGATCTTCTCAAACAATTTCCCCTGAGCTTCAAAAACTCCTTTAGGAACCAGTTATTAATTTGACTATTTCTGGTTTAGGAACCTGAAAATTAATCCCGTGGTCTGTGCAGTTGTGAAAAACATGTAAAGGCAACGCATTCTTCCTTGTTTTTCCTAATGTTCTAACTAAACCTATTTGGTATTATAAGGCCCAAATTTACCTATCTGGTGTGGAAAGATACTTCTGCTTCTCGAAGCGCTTCTCCAGGCCCATGAGCTGAAGCTCGGTGAACACGGTGCGGCTGCGACGGCCTTTCTTGGTTTTGCTTCCGCCGTCCGCGCCATGCTCCAGTTTCCCGCGAAGGTGAAGGTCCAGTGGCAGGTGGTGAGACGCAGCTCCCACTTGCAGGCCCGGGGCGCCAGACAAAAGGGGGGAGCCGAGTGGAGAAGCAAGGGAGCAGGACAGCGGCGACATGGGGAACTTGAGCAGGCTGGTCTGGTCCGCTTTGAGCACTGCGCACAAAGAAATAATACAGTTATGTTGTGAGCGATAGGGCCTATATTGGAAGCATTACCATTTCTACTTCCTCACTGTACTCACTGTAAACTGACGAGATAGCAGTATGTCTGACAATTTAGACTATAGGCTACTCATAATGCATGCTCTTTTCGTTTCTCTTATCTTATTAGGCCTAGCTATGATTTAAAAATATCATACATTAGGTCTCTTCAGGTTTTAATAATAAAATTCAAGCCAAGACGAACAGGTTGTCACTCATTTGAGTTCTGGCTATAAACATTTGGTTTAACCATGTTATTTTTTGTCGTAACTATGATCTATTGTGTTACGCACGGCAATGTCTTTTTGTTTTTGTTTTTTTGCTTTTCTTCTTTCGCTTAAATGATACATGTCTATAGCGTGCAGGGTGGTAATAAATGTGCCATTAATTAATTATCATTAATTTTTCATATTATACTTTATCGCAGGTAAATAGAAAATGGGCTCTTTAGCCAGTAGAAGTCTGAAAGCGCTATACTAAAGGCTACTACTACAGTTTCATAAGCGTACGCTTTTAACTTTATTTGCAATTTGGAATTTTGCAATATGCGTAAAAGTCAATAGACAAGAAAGTCATTGAACCAAAACAGCTGATTTCTTTTCTTACCGAGCTGACTGTGGAAGGGCCGAGCGGACAGCAGAGCCTGTACGCCAAACTTGAGGAGCTCTCCCGCGTGAGCGGAGGTTTTGTGCTCCGCGTGGTCTGTAAGAATCTCTTCAATCATGAAACTCCGATAGCGGTGCGTCCTGTGGTCTGGATGCGCTTCTGGGGCATAGTAATGCGCCGCTACGTCCAAGGGGTGCTGCATGGTAAAACTTTGGTCACTTCTCCCAACACCTCAATGTGACATATTTCCTCTGCAGTAAGTCCAGAACCACCTCTTCACGACAGTTATCCAGAGAGCTATAGCACCGTGCGTCTTTACGCATAAATCCAGGCTATATTCCGTTATACGGCCTAGAGTGAAGCTTTAGCCAAACTTTGGAAGTCACCCCGTTTGTGCCCACTTTTGGACAGATACGATCAGTTCTTGAGCCTGAGCACGTCACCTTGGCAATGAGTGGAGGGATAGACTTTGGGTTTTATGAGATCGTTAAAGCTCCACCTCTCCACAGAGCTCGTCTGCTGCTTGCCTCCATCTGCACATGCAAAAACATAGACTGGCATGGTTTTTATGCAAAGGGGAAGGAAATAAGGAGACGCGCTTCAGACACTGGGTGACTTTGGGACGCAGTGATTATTAGAAATTGACCTACCTTCTAACTTAAGTAGGCTAAGTTGGTAAAGTGGAGGTTATGTTCCTATCCCATGGAATTATGTTGCTGAAATCCCCCAGCTATTTTTGCGTTTTTAATTCAAACTGAATATGTACAATTTAAAAAATAATAATAATAAATAAATAAAAAATAAGGCAAAACAAACACATTCTTATCAGTTAGAACTAGGCCATTGATAAATTCATAAATGATCAATGGCTTTAGGCACTAGGAACTATACACTATGGAACTCTTTCCTAACACTAACTGACATTTTATTTTTGGCATGGTTCGGTTCAAGTTGTCAGGTAATGGAAACCCGTCTAAAAGAAAACTTTCTAAAGAATAAATGATTTTATTTATTTTTATTTTTTTATTTATTTTTTTGATGATAGGCCCTAAACAAGATGGTAGCTTCCATCTGTCTGTAATTTACAACTTCACTCTGTCTAAAGAAATCCAATAAAATGTTGTAAGGTCCATTCTCATGCAGTTAATTGTAATAGGTCTATGGGATCAACTGCATTGTGATGATATAGCCTATATTAGCCGCTGCCATAGGCTATAGACTGAAGAAAGGAGGCAGAGCTCGGTTAAAAAAAATGATCTAATATCTTACGTTCACTCATTGAAGAGTAGGAAAAATGTTAGAGACCATTTAAGAATTTTGCGATGACCCAAAAAGGAAAGGCTAAATAATCCCTGTAAATGGTGGTTTTGCGTGAAGACTATTAACCTAACCTAACTTTTGAGGAATTCTGCTTCACCATGACCAATTTAGGAAATTTCATGCACACGTCTCCCTCTGCTGGTCACCCACGAAATTGAAAGTAGCCGGCTAATCAAATCTATATTTCTAGCTGGTGAACTCATCTGGTTTTAAATTACTAAAATGTATCCCAATATTATGCAACTAAACACTAACAGCATAATAAAAACTGCAGTTTTTCAAGTATAAACACAACACAGTTGTTGACAGATTAAGTATATTGAAATTAATATGATTATCTGACAAAAGAAAATCTTAATGTTTTATATCTGAGATACCTATCCTCGCTGTTGTGTACGGTCATGAATTTATTAAAATAATGTGTAATAATAATAATAATGTTGGTTAACTAGGTGAAACAGCTGTTCCTTGGTCACGTGACAGAGCTGTGCCACAGGACAACACGTCAGGTTGCTAAATTAGCGCCACTGTTAGCTTTACTTAGCCAACCAAATGATGTGGCTGCGCGAAAAATGGACTGTCAATGGCTCCAACACTGACAAGGAAATGGCCATCAACCAATGAGTCTACTATGTCAGAGCGCCCAAGAAGAAAGTCAGACTTAAACACAGGAAACACGGTAAGACAGCGCTTTTATTGTGCTAGCTGCGGCTAATTCCGTAGCTAGCAATAACAATAAATCTTGGTTTGCAACATCAGCACCAATGCCATCCACATGCACTTTTATAACATGTAGGGTAACATGGGTTTGTCGAATTTTTTTCTGTTCTCCACGGTATGTGCACAGGAATAAATTATTACATTAATTCAATATTTATGAATTATTAGATCTTATCACTCATGAAATCTGGACAGTTGTTGAACTGCTTTGTGACATCTCTGGAAACGCTACTGCACTCTCTTCTTTTATTATTATTATTATTACTATTATTACTATTATTTGCTTTTGTTAGTTTTACAATTGACAGTTGCCATTGCGTATTTATAACAAACTGAACAAACATCATGTCATCTAACAACTTTCTAGTCAACAATTTCACAATAATCGTTTACACTCGAGGAGGAGGGCCGTTTGAGACGTTTTGTTGGACACACGTCCCACACTCATTTAGCAACATTTTTGGCATTTCGTGGCGCCCATTTCCATCCCAGTGCCTCTCTACAAGATATTGACTAATGCAGACGCTGCGTATTAGTCAGCATTCACCATTTTGACATCTGATATAACAGTTTTGCATTTACCTGTTAAGATTTGTGTAGATGATCTGAAAAAGTAAACATGAAGCTGAAAGATGCACAACATCCCAACTAAGATGTCACACATTATAATTTTATGTCATTAAATATGATTGCAGAAGGTGTCTGTGCACAAATCCAGGGTACACCGTCCTGACGTGACTCCAGGGGCCTCCCTGATTTCTCTGGCCTTCCTCTATCACACTGTGCTAGTGTCATCTCAGTTTGTGGGTCGGTTACAGTAGAAGGATTTCTAAAGGTGTTGTGGATGGAAAGAAACGGCTCTAGCTTTACAACATAAATAATTCACTGAGCCTTACAATGAATAGGACAACAGCTGTGACCTCAATGTGACCTGTCTTTGAAGATGCACATAAGAGATCCAAGAAATATGTTAACAATCAAACTATGGATCTATCAGGGCAGTAAAATTATGAAGCCAAATAGTACATCTTGAAAGTGCACTGTGTGGATGCTGCCAGTGGTTTCAGAGCAGTTTATGAGTTGGACCATAACAGTGGGTTTGTAAATAATGAGACCAAGAATTAATTAACTTTTTTGATCAAAAGGTAAAAAGGTAAATGAATCCTTAATTGGCAATGCCACCTGACCTAATATTGTATAATTACAGAGTAACATATATTGACAAACAAGTCAAATCCTTCTGTCACTCAGAGTTACTATGCATTCAGAAGATATTTTCTTACACCCTGGCTACTTGAGAGCTGATCAGGAGTTACTGCCAGCTCTTAACACTCATGAGAAGCAAAAGTCAAAGTTCAGGAAATCAACAGGCTAATCTAACTTCACTAGGGTAGCACAACTGTCGGCTCAAAGGGTAATGGGTGCAGGGTTTCTGATCTTGCAATAAGTGGTTACTGGTTAGCACCATTAGACCTCAAAGTGTAATGTGAGAGAGACTGGGACACTAGGATTTCAGTGGTTTACTATGACATCAGTACTGCATGCAATGGACTTCTCAGAGAAATCAGGGGAAAGTGGCACTGTATCATTATCACATTAGAGCTGATTGAAGCATTTTGAACTTTAATTTGCCCTTTTTATTGGAAAAATTTGAACCAAAAAATTGAACGAATGGATCAAAGTATTAAAAAAAAAACTATTCAGAAGTACAGCCATTTTACAATATACTAAAATGTTACCTGGCAAGAGGTGAAGAATGTGTTGAGGAGCCCGTTAAAATGAGAATAAAAATAATGACTTAAATGTACAAAAATCAGTCAGAAGTCAGATGCCATCAGTTTGGCCAGCCTTGTTAAACAGGCCTAAAAAATGAATTGTGAATATTGTTATGCTCCCTCCTGACTGGACCACACCCTCTTTTCTCCCATGGGTGCTGTGGTGCAGGAGTGACACTCGAGCTGCTGACCTGGTGGCTCAGTTTGCACATTTGCCTTCTCCCCTGAGTTTTACCTGCCAGGCAACGCTCATATCTCATTTATGTGCTTGCCTCGTTATCGGCAGCACGCCCATGGAGTCGCATACAACCACTCCGATTGGTGTCGGGGCATCTGACTCACTGTCCCCACCTTCCAGGTCCAGCCATGGCAGCAGGAGTCAGCCTTGTAAGTGACCTGCGACTCCTCTCCACTGGAGTCCACATTGGAGCCAACAGCTCAGACATGGAGATGGGTAAGAGATGCAATTTAGACTGTGTGTTTGTCCTGTTATTCTATTATACTAAGCCAAGGCACCTGTGTAAATAAGTGTTAATGCTGAAATTCTTGACTGCATTGAAGCACTAAGGGATGATTGGCATGTAATTTGACTGAAACAGTTTAAATTTTTGAAATAAATACTTAAATATTAGCTAAGATTAAAAATGATATGTTTACAATCTATTTTAAAATGTACCTTTTAAAATGATTGGACTATACATTATCATACAAAGTGCAGAAAATATCACTTATAACCTCTCCTTGTTTGAAAGATTACCCTTCAAGTTTATTTTATTTTAAATCTCTTTGCAGCTTCTGTCCCTATTTTGTATTCATGTTAATACACTCAATATTAGTACTTTGTTACATCTCAAAACAATTTATTTCATTTGTCATAATAGTCTTTTTCTAGAAGTTGATTTTTTACATGCTCTGAATTGAGGTGGGAGTCAAACTGAACTTGTTTTGTGATATTTATGGTTCTACTGGTTCAGTTTTTTGGTGATTCTTCAACCTCAGAAATGACTTATAGGTAATTTTAGCACATCTGTGAAAAGCAGACATTCATTCGGCTCTGACTAAAGATACCAGTTGGTTAAGGTGCTCCCTAACAGAGAGCATCACAGAGCAGGATCAGTTCACCGTTTGGCTTCAGGTGAATAATGACACAGACCTCTGACATAATTTAAAGCCTCTAAATCTACAAACTAACTAACTAATAGAAATGAGGTATTGTTAATGTATCGCATTTCCTTCACTGCAGCACTACAGCAGGTTGTGCTGTTTTGAACAAAAAAAAAAGTGTCTTTAATCAGGAGTTAGGCTGTGTAAGTGTTTGATATTGATGATGAACTAAATGTCAAGAGAGCGCCTAATCGCCGGGCATTCAGTCTCATGATGTGTGCTTCGATCGAGTAAGAATCACATGAACATTACGCAGGAAACATGTTTTTGATTAATGGAGAAAAAAAAAAATCTTTTGTCTGCAGTTGGATACTTGACATGTGCGGGTGTAATGCCTCTTTTTCTGTCTTGTGGTGTGACCATAGACCGTATCCGTGTGACAAACTTTGTAGCAATTGTTTGTAGCAATATAGTTTTTCATAAAAGTTGGATTTTCCAGTAAGAATATAGTAATAATTTAATTTATTTGTGGATAAAACCTTAACCCCATAGCTCTACTTGGTACATAAATGAACCCCTTCTTGTTTCGTTGTAGCTGGTTGTTATAATATGTTTTTCATTCAATCATTAGTTGCCGCCCTAGTTTGATTCCATATTACGATAAAGAAATGTATCCTTGCCTGTGCTACCTGTGATCTTTATAACAGGGCTCTTTGATAGCTCTGTGTGTTTGTGCTCCTGTGTACTGTGTGTGAGCCGCCCTGCCCGCCTCTGATGGCTTTGGAAATAGTTGTCATGGTGACATTTAGATGCTGCTGATAGGTTGTATCGGCTCTTTGCCCATGACTGATTGTTGTTTGATTCAGCGTGGGCACATGCTGAGTCAGTAGCATGGTTAGTTGGGACTGCAGTGACAGCCGTGCTACCATGCACCAGCACAGAGGCTCTTTAGGGGCCCCGGGACCCAGTGAACAGGGCCATGAGCGCCGCCACTCAGCCTGTGACATCCTGCTGAGAGTGCTGCAGCGCACACGTGGATCTGCCGCCGACTGTCGCAGAGTCATGGGTGCACTCAGTGAGGAGAGGATCCCTGATGACTGTAAAACTCTCTCTGCTCTCTTGTCTTGTGAGTTTTTTCTTGAACTTTTTCCTCTTGTTTTTTATTTTTACAGCCACTGCAAGGGTCCCTACAGCGAAGTACACCAAGATGGGGGAGACCCTGAGGCATGTGATCCCGGGCCACATGCAGTGCTCCATGGCCTGTGGAGGGAGAGCCTGTAAATATGAGAACCCCTCTCGCTGGAGCAATGAGGAGCAGGCCATCAAAGGGCTTTACTCGTCGTGGTATGTTCCGCTCTCTCGCCCTCTCCTTTCTTTCCCTGTGACCTTCTCCCTCTTTCCCCCTCTCCCCCTCCAGCTCCAGTGCTGGTCATCTCAGTTCGGATCCATTATTACATAACAACTCAATACATTTGTCCTGGATTTGACTGTATGGCAGAGTGTATTGAATGTAATAAAACATCAGCCCTAGGTAATAGCTTTGTTTAATCAAATGCTATGGTTCAGTTTAAGGCCACTCAATTTTGCAACATGAACAGTACAGTATTTTGTATAATATTAAAATATAATTTATAATAAAAAAGGGATTAAACTACTCCCAGGTATGCATGCTGTTTAACTGTTTGAACATTTTCTCCACCACTGCTCTGTAAAATGTCATGTCTTTTCTCCTAGGATCACTGACAACTTGCTAGCTATGGCAAGGCCATCCACTGAGATCATAGAGAAATACAATATTATTGAACAGTTTCGGAGGTGTGCAGTTCATTTACACATACGTTTATGCTTTTGTGTGAAATAAATATAAATTTTTGTATTGTTGTCTTCTGGTTCAGATGTGGCTTAAAGACGGTCATTAACCTTCAGCGGCCTGGAGAGCATGCCAGCTGTGGAAACCCTTTGGAGCAGGAGAGCGGCTTCACATACAGACCTGAGATCTTCATGGAAGCAGACAGTGAGTGCACTCTACTTTATAGTGGGTTAGAACCATTTTGCCCATTGACAAAAATTAAAGCGGTGTAGTTTGAGTGCTTGTAAGTTTCCACACCTTTAAAAACAAGCTGGAGAAGGATGTGTATTATTCAAAATGATGAATGAAAATGTGTTTTACTTGTGCAACATAATAGTCCCAAGTAACAAGCTAATTACCTCTGAGATGCATATTCTGCAGTCTTTAATGAGCTCCCCTGAGATTTGTTTCTGTACCTAATTGGCCATACATATAGCACTTTGTTTGTTGTTTGCAGTCTATTACTACAACTTTGGCTGGAAAGATTATGGAGTGGCATCCCTCACTACTATCCTGGACATGGTCAAAGTCATGTCATTTGCTGTGCAAGAGGGAAAAATGGCTATCCACTGTCATGCTGGCCTTGGCAGAACAGGTTTGTACAACTAGGGTGTTCACACCAAAAACAATAATATATGTAGGCTTGTTAGTATAGTAATCCAAAGTATAGAAAATGGATGCCAGTAGTAACATGTAGTACTCTCTTAGGTGTACTGGTGGCCTGTTACCTGGTCTTTACCTCCCGGATGAGTGCTGACCAGGCCATCCTGTTTGTACGCGCTAAGAGACCCAACTCTATCCAGACTCGAGGCCAGCTGCTCTGTGTGCGCGAGTTTGCACAGTTCCTCATCCCACTGCGCAGCATCTTCTCCTCTGCTGAACCCAAAACCTCCTCTGTCACTCTCTCCCAGTACTTGACCCGCCAGCGCCACCTGCTGCATGGCTATGAGGCTCGCCAGCTCAAGCACGTGCCAAAGATTGTCCAGCTAGTGTGCCAGCTCCTCACTGACATCGCGAATAACCGTCAGGCCGAGATTGAGGAGCAGTGGCTGGAGATTCCTGACCTCACCGCAGAGGTAGAGAAAACAGTTTCCCAACAAGCCTTGCAGCAACTTGGCAATGAAATGAGAGGCAAGGGCATTCCAGTGTCACCTTGTTTATCCCAACCACCCAGTCCAGGACTTCTCCGGCCTCTCAGTGATCTGCCTTTGATTAGGGACGGTGAACTGGACTGGAACATCCCCATAAGACTGTCTCTTTCTACAAACAAAAGCCTCAGCTATAGTGACTCTGTCCTTCACAAACTCAACTGTGATGAACTCTGTATGGAAAGTGTGCACAGGAAGGTGCCATTGACCTTCCTGGTACACCATTCATTGTCCCACAGCAGCCTTATTCCATGTAACCAGCCTACATTCTCTGACCTCGCTTGGCAGAACTTTACCAGTAGATTGCAAAAGCCCGAAACACAAGTACAAAAAGACACACAATCCCCATTTCTGAAAAAACGATTACAGAAGGGCCATCAGAGTTTGTCTTTGGATTTATCTGAGCCATTGAGAACCTTCTACAGTAATTATGCCAATGCAGCCTCCATGGTCACATCAGAAGGGGCTGGTTCAGAGCAGCACTCATGTGTGGAAGTGGAGAAGAGAGAGTCAGAAGTTCCTTTGATAAACCTTCAAGCAGAGCTCTCTCCTGACAACAGACGTCTGCTCGTGGCTAAAGCTCTGGCCATGGACTTCATAGACCCAGACCTGCAGTCCAAGGTTTCAGTGTGGCAGGTAAAGCTAATGTCCATCCATCCATTTCTTCCTCTTAATCCGGGGCCGGGTCGTGGGGGCAGCAGTCTAAGCAGGGACTCCCAGATGTCCTTCACCCCAGACACGTCCTCCAGCTCCTCCAGGGGGACCCCGAGGTGTTCCCAGGCCAGTTGAGAGACATAGTCCCTCCAGCGTGTCCTGGATCTTCCCTGGGGCCTCCTACTGGTGGGACATGCCGGCAACCTCCCTAAAGCTAATGTTTTGATGAATAATAATTGTGTTAGTCTTTATATTAATCAAGGTTTAAGTATCATACAAATGTGAACTGATGGATGTTTCAGCACGCTTGTGGATAATGTGTATCCTTAATTGGAACCTACAACAAGAAGTAAATTTTTATTTTAATCTGCTTTTTTTGCTGCATTTCATGTATGTAACAATATACTTTATACACAGTTAGCATATCTTCTTGATCCACAGACCGAACTGAACTCCAGGGAGGGTACGTGGGAGAGGCTGTGCATGGAGAGAGAGCCTCTGGTGCTTTCAGCTCTTATGTGGTCGTGGCTAGAACAACTGAAGGAGCCGGTCATCAGCAATGAGGATCTGAAAGCGCTTAGTGAGTCCAATGTCAACTCACAAGAGGCACTTGACTCACTGCAAAAGGTACACTATAGACTGTGATGGTGTATTCATTAGTCATTCTTCCTACATGCATGTATTTACAGGGCTGTAAGAACATTTCCCTAATTAATTTGGTTGAGTAGTTAGTCACCCTTAAATAAAATTATCAGACTCCAAGAGCTTCAAACTATAGCTTCAATTGATTTATTATAAGAAAAGCAATGTGCATAGCAGTATTTTGTCTTTTTATGCTTTTATGCTGTCAATCCACATTTGTTACAGTGCCTTGATCACAGTCGCACTTCAGACTAACTTTAGCATTTATTGATTATTCTCCTTCAATAATTTACTGTACTTAACTGTCTTTTCATTTTCATATTGTAGGGTCACAGACAGACGCTTCTTTGCATCCTGGAATGTGCAGCTAATCTTCTGCCTTTATCTGTAGATGTGGAAACAAAATTTCTCACGCAAACTATTAAAGTGTTTACACGGGTGAGTGGCAACAGGTGTACAATACTTATTATGTACTGTGGAATCTTTAGCTTTAACTGAACTCTGCTCCACAGATCGACCCTGATTTAGAAGCAAACAAGGGCTTTTACTCAACGCTTAAGTCTATTTTGACTTTAATTCTTCATGACGTGTGTGACAAAGCTACAAAGGACAACGGGGACCCCTGATCCAGCCTTAACACATCCTTTAAGATGAAAAAGCAGGGTTCATAAGGTGTATTGTGGGCATTCTATATTTGGTTGTATCAAACACGGGTGAACTCTGCCAATGTTCATCTATGATTTAGAAATTTAAAACTTACATTTTGTTTCTTTTTAAAGCTCTTACTAGACCGCAAGCACTGCCATTCTTGTTGATGTGCCACTGTTGTGTTGTACTACTGTAATGTCCAGGGACTTAGTTGTTTTTGGCTGTAAGGGCGTGAGATGACTGAGAAGTGTTCTTCAGTGTAATAATTATAATGTAACTATTTAAATGTTGTGGGAAAGGGTTATAATTTAAACCAAAACATATTTAACACTGTGCAGATCAAATTATGTGTCTTATTTATTTTAAATGCAGATATTTGTTGTGATGACAAGTTGCTTTTTTGGCATGTTGAAATATTTCTTAGTTTGAAATGCAAACTGTTGCTATTTTAAAAGAAATGCAATTTAGTTAGATAGACCACAGTGCATTGGGATGTCCCAAATCAATACCAAAAACTGTTGTGATGTACGTGCATTTATAAAAAAGAAAATCTATCTGCCTCTTCTACTGACTGACGGCCTCTTGCTGCTGTGACTATTACAGATTCCCAAATAATTTGCTTGTAAACAGCTTGAGACAAAGATACTGTGGAAAAATATTTTTTCATTGTTCCTTAAAATATTAAAACAATGACTGACTAGAGTTGTGTTGAGTTGGATTTGTATATATCACAATTAGCGAGTGGCTTCTTCCTGGGGAGGTGTTTGGAATGTAAAAGTAGAAATAGATTTTCTACTAAAAAAACAAAACCAATGTAATACAAAACCAATATATACAGTGTCTTATTCCTAATCACCATCAAATCCCACCCAATTTTGATTTCAGAATTTATTTCGGAATTCAACTGCAAGCCACATTCCACTCCTGGTGATGGCGCTAACTGTCTGTCTGTGCATGGACGCACACTCACGCACGCTGCGCGCAGAGGGCGGAGCACTGCTGCGTGCTTTCGACATGGCCGCCAGGTGGGTTCACGCTTCTCTTTTCTCTTCTACGTTTTAACTCGTTTGTTTGCTTTTGTACGTATTATTTTAGACACGTCCTTGGTTAACAGTTTATCCGCGGAAGCATGGCGTTTGTGAAGGAGTGCAGCACCCTTTTCGGTTGCATATAAATATGCCGTTTTTACCCTGACCCACGCTGTGCTAGCTTCATCAGTGTGCTATTAGCAAGTGTAATGTGATGGAGTGGTGTGGTTCATAGAATTGGAGGAAGCTCGCGTAAGAAATGGTCCACTACTATTAAAAACAACACCATCTACATTTATCGGCATTCACGGAAGTCGTAATTTTCTTATAAGCCTTGCTCTTATGTGGATCCTCCTAAAGACTTCGCTTCTGTTGAAGGAGTGTCCCTGTCAGCTCTAATAACAGGTCATAGTTGTACATCCACTATGATTCACAAAAGTGGATGAGTTCGTTTCAATTTTTTGAATATGAAATGATAAATTACAGAGTGTGCGATTAAGGTTCATTGGAGCAGTGGGCTTCAGAGAGGATATTGATTTTGTCCGCCCACAGACAAGGAAGATTTCTCAGTAAGATCGCGTTTTAAATTAATGCTTTCCTCTTGTACTATACATTTAGTTTCATTAAAAATGGCGTTGTTCGTACTGTACTGCAGGTTTCTGACGGATATCTAAGATCACTACTCTACATACACAGTATACGGATCACACTACAGGAGTGACTGATCCAGACTTAATAATATGGTCTTTTTGTGTGTGGTTGGGATTATATTGGTTTCTCCTTCATGTATGGTGCTCAACTCATTATTTAGTCATTATGATTTTTTTCAAATTTATTTATGTTCCTGTGCTTTATATATCCACACAGATCTGCCACCATGTTGAAATGGAGAGGACGTTCCCTGCGTCTCATCCAAGGACTTCCACAATAGCAACTGTGGGATGAGGTAGTAGGTTGTATAGTTTTAGGGTCACACCCGCACTGGGAGATAACTATTCAACCTACTGTCTTTCTCAAAGTGCTAAAGCCTAGTCCACTCCATCTGGCTAGCACCTTCAGACCATCGTGTGTTGTGGAACTTTCTTCTGTTTTGTGGCGTGAGGTAGTAGATTGTATAGTTCTAGGGTTGTGATTTTTGCCCTGTTTAGGAGATAACTATACAATCTATTGCCTTCCCTGCACACAGAAATATCTTCTTAAGACATTGTTTTGGTATTTACTTAAATAAGGCTAGTGTTTGGTGAATGTGTGTAAGTCATAGAGAATAGTAATAAAGACTTTTCAGTTTTACTTTTTTGTTGCTGGCTTCTTTTGCAAAATGTGTGAAAATCATATGTGTCCAAACATTTTTCATCAAGGGCAACACAATGCAATACAGATGAAGTAGTAGGCTGATCAAGGGCCATAGACTGGCTGCCAATACCCTAAGGGCAAGGTAATTTGCCCATCTGGGCTCCAGCGTTCATTTGATATAGTTAATTCATGACTGCATATAAAAGCAGATTTACAGCATTAAAATTTGCAGAAGTCAGAAAATGCATATATTTAATATTTTTAATTAATATTATATAATATGATTGCTGTTGACAGAGCAGGTTGCTTGATAGCCCGAAAAGTTGTCCTTGTTCTTCAGTTGTGTCTGGGAGTTTTGTCATCTGGTCTTAGGGAGCCGTTCATGCAGTGGGTGTTCACTATGACCTGTTCTGCTATTAAGGGAGCTCCACTGCTTCATCCTCTCCAGCTGTGCAGTCAGTGTCCGTCCTTGTACACTGGTGCATGAATGAGGGTGTGTTATTTCTTCTTATGTGTGATAAGTTTTTAACTATCTACATGACAACAAAGCAGGCAACTCACCAGCTCGGATCATTGGAGAGGTGACTAGTAAGACTGAATATTTTTCAGGGTTTAAGTCCGTGGAATAGAATACATCCATCATGAATAATTATAACGCAATAGTCTACTTTGGAACATTCCAGGCAATAACATCTGTGGTGGTCAGAGAGCGATTCTGATTCTTGTTGGAATAGTTTCTCATTTTTCCCGCAGATGGCGCTAAAACTATGCTTGCAAGTCAAGGTGGAGCGTGGAAGGAAAGGGAGGTCAACATCTTTGGGACGTACAATTAATTATGCTTCTTTTACATGTGTCCTGACCCTATAGTAATGATGATCAATATTAATGTTAATTTAGTCCATGTCAACCGGTGGTTTTCCAAATTTTGTAAGTCACAATATACTACAAAGTATTTGCTCTATAACTAGCCTACCCGTTTTTAAGCCCAGCAGGACTAACGCATTCAAATTTCGTTATAAATTGATGGGAGACATTATGATAGCCTAGCTTCAAGTGGGCAAAATCGACAAAGCACTTAAAACCGCACTGGCACAAACAATCTTTCAAGATTTAAATTCTGTGGGTGATGGACTCTAGGCTCAATCTGAGGAAAGAACACGTGGGCGGAGCCAGAAGTTCCGATATAAAAGGTGATGGGTCCCGCCAGCAGAAACCTTTCCGAGTCAACTATCGTAAAGACCAACGGAGGCATGTCCCAGAGCAGGTGCAAGCAGGACCACTGCACTCCGAAACATCTCCGGGCGCACCGCGTATCTCCTGGAACAGACGGAACAGGACTAAGCGGTCATTGAGCGCCACACGGACTGCGCACCTGCGGAGAGACCCCACTGTCCCAATACTGCCCCAATGCCCCGGTTCAGCCTCGCTCGACCGGATTCCGAACCAATGAACCCGCCACGAGTCTCCAGACATCAAAAGCTTTATTGGTTGCACTCGAGGGGCATTATCCGCGCCTCGGTCCCGCGGGATTTTACGCACAACTAGAAGTTCCAGTTGGACGGACGGCACCATGAAGAGGAAAACTCGGCGTTGGATTTTTCACTTTTTCCTGTGTCTTGGAATAGTATATTTGAAAATAGGGTGAGTCTATCTAATGTTTTGATGTAGGCTAATATAGGCTGAAGTAGCTCTACAGGTAGGCCAATGTGGTCTTAAAACATTTGTCTAACTACAGACAACATAGGCCCACTGTAGCTATTTGGCATCCTTAATTGGAAAGCCTGTAAATAAGGGCACAAATTTAATAAAAAGAAAAAAGGGGAAAAAGATTCAGTTATATTATATTTGCTCTCAAAAAGTTTTAAAACTATTTCCCGCAAAAGTATACATTTCTTATTAGCTCTTATTAATTTAATAAACTGTAATTCTTTTGGAGAATTTCCTATTAGCCCATTGCAATTTCTGTCAGAGAATAATTACAATGTCACTGATTAAATTTAAAAACAACTGTCATCCATTGATTCTGTTGAGGACGGTTGGCATTATGCTGTAGAACTGCAAGGGTTTTGTGCACACAGGTAGAGCCAGTACTTTTGTGCATCACATTCCTTTTGTCATTGACAACAGGGTTCACCTGGAGGCTGCAGCCAGCAGAATAACAGCCTCCTACTGGACAAAGGCCTGTGTTTGTGTGACTGCACTTATTAGCATCTGAATACTGCCATAAAATGGAATACAATTACAGATGCACAACTAAAGTTGGAAACAAAAACAAAAATACAAAGCAAGGTTCTGTGAAAAATCTTATCTGCCATAGAATGTGTCCCATCAGCTGGAGTGATAATAATCTGCATCTCTGATAGATTTTCTCGTTATTCAACTTTAGTTGCTTTTTTGTAGTCAGTCATTGCAGTCATTTTAATATGAGGCACATGTTCACACTTAAACTCTCACCCTGTTTATGGACCAAAATACTCTTAGTGGGAAAATATATCAGAATTATACTTTCATAGATTTATTTATGCAGGGTTTGTAATCTATTTGAATTAGTATAAATAGTCTGGAATATTGAAAACCTGTTATTATTGTTTCTTGTTGACCACAGGGGCCTGTCATCGGTGGTTGCCCTGGGAGCCAGCATCATCTGTAATAAAATCCCCGGCCTGGCCCCGCGACAGAGGACGATCTGTCAGAGCCGGCCTGATGCCATCATTGTGATCGGAGAGGGCGTGCAAATGAGTATTAATGAGTGCCAGTTTCAATTCCGCCATAGCCGCTGGAACTGCTCCGCCCTGGGAGAGAGGACAGTGTTCGGCAAAGAGCTTCGAGTGGGTACGTTCAACATATCACCCTTTCATCCACTGGATAGAAAAATGACTTCACATTACCTCCTCTGAATCTAATGGTATCAGGAGGACATATCTGTATGAAAATTCAATTCCAGATGTTCATTGAACCATCAAAGATAAACAATACAACAATAATAAATACTTTGGAATAGAGAACAGTAGGACCCAAAACCATTCCCAAACAAATCAAAATGAACCTAAAGGAGCGTGATGTAACGTTTGCTTTGGCACTTTTTTATTACTTTTTTATTAATTCTTGCTAAAAACGAAAGAGAGGAAAAAGTTCCTCTGAGATATTGGTCCCTTAAACTTGTCAAATGTCAATGTCTATTTTGTCATGGGAAAACAGTCCCTGGATGTCTCTCCTGTCTGTGGAATATAGCTGGAGGCTATGCTTGCACTGGTGACAGCACTGTAGAACTAAAGATATAATAGTATTATTTACAACCACCACTTTTCCTGTATGTTAAGTTGATTTTGACAATGTAAAATGTGTATTGAGAGAGTCATGTTTAGTCTTATATTAAGGGGAGTGTGAACAGGCACATTTTTATGTGTCGTTTAGGGTTTTGAACCAAGCAATGCCTTGAAATATAGGCAAATTCCTCAATAGTGAATGAATGGAATAGGCGTGAGCAGACATGATCAAATAGTAAACCTGTAGGCAGAGACATCAAGACAGAGAAACTAGCACACTTCTTCAGAAAGTTTTCCTTTTGCCTACCATGATTTGCCATATATATTTGTCATATTCTCAAAACATAGCAAAGTGAAATACCAGGAGAAAGACTATACTTTACCTGCAGAACTGTCTGTGTCTCACAAATGTTAGTTCTGCTGATCACATAATATGCACCTACATTAATTTCTGAGTAAATAAACTATGAAACAAGAGGCTATTTGCACTTGTCCTGGATTATAAGTGTAGACTACCTTCAACAAGCAGAGAATCGAACATTCCTTTTAAACTGCTTGTTTTGCAAAGTTTTAGAAGCACTTCTATATATTGTTGATTTGATTATCCATCTTATTCAAGTAGTGGCCACGGGTGCTGCCATTAGTAATTGTACCCCTCCTTCCAGTTTGCATGATTCTGTACAGAGCTGCTAATCTTATATTCAGAGTACAAAGCCTTTTTCAAGCCACCCAAAGTAAGAGTGCAATGTTGACTCGTTTGTGCACATGAACATTGGCATTTTACACAAATTAAATTTACTTTATATAATGGTTTGGAGGTGAGACTTTTTCTAATTCGTCACTGAAATTAATGGAATTGCCTCTTAAGCAGAAATGCTAACATAAACAGAAGTACAGCTCAGTAGCTGTCAGAATAAGGAGCTGAATAAGGTGAACAGTGTAATCTATGAAAATGAAGAATCTTTATATATGATAGTAAAATATATTTTCTCCAAGAGGCAAGTCTAGACTGGCTTTATTCTGCTGCTTGAGGTTTAGCAGTCTCAGCAAACTTTATTTTATTCAGCCTTGTCTGTATGTTTGATCATGTTATGTGCATAAGTCAAAACATGCAGCACAGTACTACGTAGGGCTAGTGTAGAGGTTAGACCAGGTCAGTGGTGCTCAGGTCCAGCTCGGAGAACTCCTCAGTCCATTGTTACGTGTCAACAGACCTGCAGACCAGAACACTGATAACCAGAGCAATGCATACTCTTCTTAGTCCTCTTGGCAGCTGTGCAGCAATCTGCAATATTTTGGCATCACTTGTACTCCCCACCCACAAAGCTGGCTACTTGGCCTCTCAATGTGTGAACCTGTCTCCACTTTACTAGCCATTGTTAAACACAAGGGAGATCTTTTTTTTTTTTGTTTTTGTTCATTAGCATAACAGATCAGATACATTTACAATGAATATTTTCTTAAATATTTTTACACTTTACACCACAAAATAGATGCAAAGTCGTTCTTCCTTTGTTAAATTTCTATTGGCCTATTTTTTGTTTTTTTTTCCCATTTGGAACTATCTTGATTTATGGAGTGGCCATCTATTGCATTAGGGAGGTCTGCATGCCTCTCCAAAACATGTCCGCAGGGTAGATCCCGGGATGACAGCATTCAGGATAAGGGCCAGCACAAGAAAAGATCAACCATCTCACCTTAAACAATCTATACTGTCAGCACACCTTTGCTGGACACATAGCTGGTTGTAAATAGAATCAAAGCTAGTCTTGAGCTTAATTTTTAAACTTTAATGTTTTGTTGTTTCCATAGAGCTTGATTAATGAATTGGTCTTGGCTGGCTTCATACATTTTATGATTTTGTTTTTTTACAGCTATGTCCGGTATGTAAGGAGGCTTGACAGTGTTGAAATAGTGAACGAGTCCTTCATTGTGTGTTACCTGTTTGTTTGTGTTGCAGGCAGTAAAGAGGCGGCATTTACGTATGCCCTGATATCTGCAGGAGTGGCCCACGCAGTCACAGCCGCCTGTACCCAGGGTGGACTGAGCGGCTGTGGCTGTGACAAGGACAAACAGGGTTTCTATAACCAGGAGGAAGGCTGGAAGTGGGGTGGTTGCTCCGCTGATATCGACTACGGCCTAAGCTTCTCCAAAGTGTTTGTGGATGCACGAGAGATCAAGCAGAATGCACGCACGCTTATGAATCTTCACAACAACGAAGTGGGCCGAAAGGTATGTTCAACAAGTATCTTCAGTAAATGGTAATTAAAATATCGATTGATAAAAGCACCATGAATAAAAATCTGTCCTAGTCCATACTTTAAGTAAAACACTTGCATAATTCATGTGAGGTGTTTGACAAATCAAAGTAAATTCTTCATAGAAATACAATAATGCTGTAAAGCAGGTGCCTAATAATACTTAAGAAAATATGAGCACAAGATTCTAAAAACTCTAGCTAGGTAATCCTGACCAAATTTAGCTTATGATCTGGTGATGTGTCCATGGATGGTGTACTGCAGCTTCTCACTGCTCCACATTGCCCCGATAAAGTTATAGAATGGGTCAAATGTAGAGAATGATGTGGACAATAAACAATCCACCGCAAGGAAACAGCTGCTTGTGTTTGTGGTTAACCTTTGTATGATGGGATTGTCACCATTCATTCTGGTATATGTTAATAATTTCAACACAGTGCCAAAATAATGTCTGTGTTTTGGTATAATTCGAAAAGCTGGAGCTTTGACTAAGATGAAAAAGTATTGTGTCATGTGTCATAATCTGTGCTGAAGCAGACTTCTTTGATCCAAGATGCTGGATTTGGTTGAGGGCACCGCTTCATATTTGAGGTCTGGCATCAGTCACAATGTGAATCTCTTAATTTAGACTTACAAACCGATATGGCTGTAATTACTGTAGTGGAGCTTTCATGTTCAAATGGGAATGATGTCAGTGCTAGTCTTCACATTTCTTGAGAAGAATAAACAGATTGTAAAAGGAGTTCTGTTAGACTAACAATGGGGGCTTGGCTGGCATCTCACTCCACTGAGCGCGGTGAATCCCTTGTCAGGTCTTAGAGGGCATGACCACACAAAGCTGCAGGCTTCTAAGGCTCTTGACAATTACCCAGCAGACTCCTCTACGTCTGAGGCCACATCACAGTGAGGTGACTCAGAACGTGGGTGAGGCCAGTTCCTACTCAACCTGAGAAAAAAGGGGTGAACTGACGTCAGTGGGGAGAAAAAACAGTCTCATCTCACGCACACGCATACATGCATGCACATATACACAACGTACACACACTCTGTCATTCATTTCTTCATAGTGAAGCTTACCTGAATTTCATGACAGCCTAACCACCTTATGTAGTAATGCTGCTGTATAATGCCATTTGGTTCTGTTTTAATTATATTTGTTGATCGACTATTCATTTGTTTCATCTTCCTGTTTTAAGCAACATTTTGAGGACTATTCACCATTCAAACAATATTTAGTTTTTAATTATTTATTGCTACAGCAATGGTCTTAATCATTCACCAATCATGGTTAGTAGCAATGCATGTTGGCACTTTAAATCTTTAAAAAAAAGTCATTCACAGAAATGTGCTATTGTTTTCAGCTTTTCATAATGTGTATTACTTTTTAAAGCACATATATCTTGGTGTCTGGATTGTGGGTGTCCGGAGTGTAGGTATGACCTCACCTGAGGACCTTGTTAGATGACCAGTCTATCATTCACACTTTTACTCATTATAACTTAAGCCATTTCTATTGTGCTGGTCCTCAGTTCTCTAATTGTTAGGGCATGTAATGAGGCCTAAGGTTTCTTGCCATCATTTACTTTTCAAAGAGTATATGAGCAATGGCTCATATAGCAGCCTATACAGTGATTCATTGAAGCAGCTCACACGGCTCAGGAATGCTTACATTCATTTGGAATGCTAGAAAACTTTTGTCTCAACCTGTTGAACTATTCATGCAGGATTTTAGCCACCAGTCCTTGGAAAAATGTTGCCAATGCATGCATTGGCAACCATTCACATGAATAATCCATATCAGCAGAATAGATATTGTTGACATAGTTGTGATAAAAGCCTTTTTTTAGTGACAGTTTAAGTCAATATATATGATCTTTGTAGATCCCATGCTGCCATCAAATAAAAACTAAATAACTTTTTAGTTTTTACATGTGGTACAACTGTAATGACACACTGTGATTCCCTGTTACAGATGTTGGAGAAGAGCATGCGCTTGGAGTGTAAGTGTCATGGTGTCTCAGGGTCCTGCACCACTAAGACCTGCTGGACCACTCTCCCGAAGTTTCGTCAGTTAGGATACATGCTGAAGGACAAGTACAACCAGGCCGTGCACGTGGAGCCAGTCCGCGCCAGTCGCAACAAACGCCCAACCTTCCTCAAGATCAAGAAGCTCCACTCTTACAGAAAACCTCTGGACTCTGAGCTTGTCTACATTGACAAGTCCCCAAACTACTGTGAGGCCGACCCCCTGAGTGGCAGCATGGGCACACAGGGCCGCCTCTGTAATAAGACGGCTCTCCAGCCCAACAGCTGTGACCTGATGTGCTGTGGGCGGGGCTACAACACACACCAGTACTCGCGCGTATGGCAGTGCAACTGCAAGTTCCTCTGGTGCTGTTACGTCAAGTGCAACACGTGCAGTGAGAGGACTGAGGTCTACACCTGTAAATAGAAGTATTTATTTAAGTGGTCTACTACACTGTCTCTGTGAGACCAGCCAGGGTGGGCTGCTTTTGCACTGCTTATCTGCCACAGCCTCTGTTGAGTAGATTTAAGCCAGCAATCAAACCGTTACTGATTCTACACGTTTACTGTAAGTATATGAGCAGAGGGCATATCTAATTCTTCATATTTGTAATAAATGTAATAACACAGTTGATTCAATCTTGGTGCAACAAAATTCACCTGCCTAAATGTGTGCAAAAGTAGCTAAAAATCATGTCACAGATGAGGTTAGCTCGAGCCTCAGTGTTGGACTGTAGCTTGTGTTGAAGGGACACTTCCTCCGACTTGTGTTGATATTAACTGATGCCAATGGACATCCTCTATAACTGGAGTTAAAGAATATTTCATCTATATTTGTAGGTCAAATGCCACTTCAGCCTTGCCTTTTGGTGCTGGCATAACTGTGTGAAAAAATAATGTCTTAAATTGTTATTATTTATTGTGTAAAAACTACTGACAATTTTAAAAATGTCTTTGAGGGGGAAAAAAACAAACTTTAAACTAAATTTTTTTCCCATGTGTTTCTACAGGCATTTGGTAAAACAAAAGTAAACTAATCAACTGATCTTGATGCGTTTTTGTTGAAAATTCAACTTGCTGTCACTAGGCCTGTAACGATAACAGATTTTACTGGCCGATTAAATGACCAAGAATTAAGATTGAGATAAACGATAATATTGACATTTTGAGACCAATTTCAACTATTATTATGACCATGGAATAAAAATGCTAATACACGCTTTCAAAGAGCAATAAACCTTACTTACTAAATAACATTTAACACAGTAAGACAACCAAAAACAACAGGCCTAAATAAAACAGACTTTTTAACACAGGACTAGCCTAATGTGTCTGGCTCACACCAAGGACTTGTTCACAAAAATACACTTGAATAAACCATTGCTGAACCAATTACAACCAAAGCATTAAATAAAATTGATTATTAAGTCTCTGTAACAAAATTGCCCTTAAAAGTGATTTTAGTCATTGACTTACATTGGTGTATAGTGGCTTCTGTCTCTGAGGCTGCTGCTCTGATCCTCATCATTTTGGTCTTGAAATGTTCGTATTAACCCGCGACACAGGATGCTATTGCGCTATGAGGGAGCCACTGTCCTGTTCGGTATCGTGTCGGTGTCTTGTGGGATTTCAGTAGATTTCGGACTCTCCCGGGGGCTAGGCTAGTTGTGTTGCTCGGGTTTGGGTGTATGTAAGCTGCTGGGCTTTGAGACATTTCTTGTCGTTGTTTGCGCGCTCGCTGCATTTGACGCATGTGGCTGTTGAGACGTGTCCCGCTCACCAGTGTTGATTCTGCATCGTGACTTGTTTTGGCACACGGAGATGAACTGGTTTGGTTCTGACAGCGGCGCTCACTTGTGTTGCGGCTTCATGTTAGCCGCACAGACAGCGGCGCTTTCTGCACTCAGACTACGTGCGCATCCACTGTGTTGATAAAAACAGCGCACGTTGGTTCAAGCGTCATTACGCTTGTTAAATGAGAGGAGTCAGAGCGATAGGAGCTTCTAACATCCAGTCTCTTTGAGAGCGAGAGAGAGCGAGGAAATCAAACAAGCATGCAAATAGAATTTATTGTGGCCGGAAAAGTTATTGAGCTCGTTAAAAGTTATCGTATGATTAACTGATTTATTAATTATCGTTACAGGCCTAGCTGTCACTTCTCCTGTCTCTCAAAAGGCTCTTTTCCCAAGACATTATTGGAGTAAAATTATTTCCCTTGAAATTTATTTACATATAAATGGGGATGTGAGCCCTGAAACAAACTTAGGTGGACATAAAATGGTGAAGTAAGGCCTCATGCTGTTCTGGTTTACTTCAGCAGATAAACTGCAGACATATTTTGTATTTTGTTCTATAAAATTGGTTTGTACAAAATTATTAGCATACACATGGTCTTTCTCTGCTGCTCTCTCAAAAGTGATGCTTTTTCTGTCTTGTCCTCATATGGATGGATTTGTGTTTGGGAAGAATTTTATGAATTTGCCCAGTCAGAATTCATAGATCAGATCATCAGGTCAGCTTTACCTGGTCAGTTCACGTGAAACAATGACAATGGCATGAAGTTTTATATTGTTGAGGCCTAAGACATAGGTAAGGAAGTGTGAGTGTGCATGTTTTTAGTTTTTAACCTAAATCTACACCTTAAAATACAATTTTAAAAATGCTTAAACAGTTTTGTTTTTGAAACTATCTACCCCATACTCAGAACAGCTGAACCTGTCACACTTCCCAGAAAGTCCCATTATTTTTATGCAGATCTGGGTCACTTTTGGCTTACAGCTAATTTTGTTCTGCATGCTAGATTATTTTATTTGATAGAGTTTATTTTTATATGTGTTTATTTATTTGAGTCTGCATAGGCCCTTAGGAATTTCTCTTCCAGGTTACCGAAGTCAGATACACTGTCTTTTGTTCAATGTGACTTTGAATGCATCACACTGAATGTAATTTTAAGATCTGGCGTATGATCAGTTCTTGAACCAGTTTCAATCAGATGGTCTTGGAGATACATTTGGGTTGTCAAAAGTCTATGTCTAAACTTTGTTTCTCATCAAATAAAAATAAACTAAAACTGTGACAGTTGTTTGTGTTGAACAAGTCATACATTCTGTTCTGTAAACAAAGTTTCTTTTTGGTTTGAAATAATTTTAACTACAAAATCCTTTTTGTTTCCATCCACCAAATCCACCTGACTTTACACAGAAAACTTAAAATAATAAGATCATAAGATTTAGCTTTTTTATTTACATGTCTTGATAAAGGAGAAGGATAATTCAATAATACAGTTTTGTATATCATAAGTTATGATCATTTTAAGTGAATAAATGTTAGCCACTACCTACTGAACTGATCTGATTCTGATTTCAAATCTGATTTTGATATCACATTCTCATATACACCTTTTTAATTAACTTCAAAAGAGCATATGCACAAGTTGGTGCAAAAAGTTCGGATGGTACACAAAGATAGATCTGCGTAACATTATTACTTTCACTTTTGATTTTATTCGTTCATTTTAAGAGTGACACACTGACTTTTGTTTTGAGTAAAACAGGCTAAATAGCTTGGTTAGTTTGTCAGTTTAAGCATGGCTGTGGGTCTATAGGTCTGCAGGCACCTCAGTGTGTCTGGCTAAGAGCGGGGAAAGTAGATTTGGCATCTGATGGATTACTCTGACATCTGCTTCATTCACTCTTCTCAGACGTTGCCAGACAACCGCACCGTGCCCCCCAGAAATGCTCCCCATCTCACAGAGAGGCCAGACCAACCATTAACTAAATGGTAACCATGCAAAAGCTAGATAAAATTTGGATGCTATTTATTATGTGGCACAGGCATTGGGGGACGCTGGGAGCAGAGGGCTTTACAAAAAGAAGAAGATGAAGTCAAAAAGGATTTGAGTCAGACCAATAGAAAAGGTTTTAACTCCCAGGACTAGTCTTCACCAAACATTTCCCTGAAACTTTTCAATAGAGCAATGGCTTTAAATGGCAGCTGGCCAAACAGTGTCAGCTCAGCCTTTTCCAAGGTCTCCACATTTATTTCAGCTAAAGCACAATACTATTTATCCACAGGTTCACCCAGTGTGTCAGAATCCTGTTGGTAGACATGAGATCACAGACAGAAAGTTATTGCAATCAATTTTTAATATTTAGCTGATATTGTTTCACAAAGATTTGTGCAATTCCATGAGAAATGTCTGTCATTTTTGTGTGTGCTTAATTTTATTTGTGTGTATGTTATTTAATTTGTGTCTGTGTAATATATCCATAATTTAGTTTGTGTGCATTAAATTTGTGTTTATGTATAGTAGGCAGTAAACATTTACTTCTGGTTACTGAAACAATGAAATTACATTTTGATTGGACTCATCATTTTTATACCCAATTACCATTGAGAAATAAAAAAAAACATAAAAGAGATGTGAGCTAAATAGTAATCTCATAGTTAAGAGAAAAGTTATTTTGATCTCGGAATTTACTTCACAAACTTGTAGTCTCCAGGCATGCTTCCCTCAAGCTCCTCAGGGTATTGTTGTGCTGAGAAATGCATTCAGTAAACAGAGGTCTGCGCAGTGGACATATGCAGTGGAATGGGAGTGTCATGTTTTTATCTGATATTACATCTTAGACAAACTTACAAAATCAACTACGGACACACAAGTTGGCAGCACAATGACTGAGTGGCCAGAAATCTCACCTCAAAGCCAGCATCCAGTCCTTCTTTGTGGAGTTTGCATGTTCTCCTGGTGTGAGTGGGTTTTACTAATCACCCAATACATGCAGAATAGACAAACACCTCTGGCTGGAGGACAAATTATGGGCACTTTTGTGCAAAATTGTTTTTGCAGTAATAATGATAGTCATATTTTACTCCATAAAAAAGTCAGCTGTCCCTGCAGTGGTGTGGGCCAGGTTGGCGAGGGACAGAGAAATATCTAGAAAATATATTGCTTTCCATCTAAATTAATGTGTTTAGAACAAAGGATCTGGTCTGAGAAAAACTGGTTAAAACTGATGCCGTATGTAAAAGGTTGGGATTCATGTACCTTTATTTTTTGCTGTACCTAAATGAAAGCACGAATGCCAACAGAACTATTGCCAAGTAAAGTGTAACAGCCCAAGTACCCATAGTTTGGAAAATCAAAGAGCACTATAAAGGATTTAATTGAAGAATGCATAAATCAGACACAGCACTTTGAGCATGGAAGAAATAATAAATCATGATTGAGCTCTGATGTCTGAAGTAACTGAATAATGGAGGAGATATTTGTTGGTTAAAATTGTTCAATGTTACAACATAGGTAATTATAAATCTGTTGCCTTAGGTATGCTGGAGCCTTCAAACATTCTTAGCATTATTTTCGCATGTGCAATAAATTACAGTTTGCAAACTTATATTTACAGTAATTTTGGAGTAGACCACTGGGAAAAAAAAAAAAAGCAGTAGGCTACAGGTTCACCTTTTTATTATTATTTTTATTTTTTATTTTTGTGAATTCTATCTTTTGGTCCAAATGTCAGTTTTGTTTAATGAAAATAAATACTACCTGTACTTCTATTTTATTTTAATTAACAGTAATATAATTATGAATATATTTTGAATTATGCAACTGAATGTGTTTAAATTTCACTGGGAACTTACCCTACCCATATATATATATATATATATATATATATATATATATATATATATATATATATATATATATATATATATATATATATATATATATATATACACAACATAACCAAGTGGCGGGCATAGTGTACAGAAACATCTGTGCAGAGTACGGGCTGGAGACTCCAGGATCAAGGTGGGAAACACCTCCAAAGGTTGTGGAGAACGACCGAGCCAAGATCCTGTGGGACTTCCAGATACAGACTGACAGGATGGTGATGGCGAACCAACCAGACATAGTGGTGGTGGATAAGAAACAGAGCAGAGACGTGGTGGTGGACATCACAATATCAAGCGATGGTAATATCAGGAAAAAGGAACACGAGAAACTAGAGAAATACTAGGGGCTCAAGGAGGAGCTGGAGAGAGCCTGGAGAGTAAAGGCATCAGTGGTGCCTGTGGTGATCGGACACTCGGGGCTGTAACCCCCAAACTGGAAGAGTGGCTACAACAGATACTGGGAAAAACAAAGTGCAGTATTGGGAACAGCAAAGATACTGCGCAGAACTCTCAAGCTCCCAGGCCTCTGGTAGAAGACCCAGGCTGAATGAGGGTGAGAGAGACCTACCACCGTGGAAGGTGAGAAACACATTTATTTATATATATATATATATATATATATATATATATATATATATATATATATATATATATATAAACACACCCCTCCTTGAACCGTCATCTTATCGTGGTGGAGGGGTTTGAATGATCCAGGGAGCTATGTTGTCGGGGGCTTCATGCCCCTGGTAGGGTCACCCAAGGCAAACAGGTCAGGGGGGACGGATCAGACGAAGAACGGTTCAGAAGTCCCACATGATGAGTCACACACAGAGGCCAGTTACGTCGCCCGGATTGGCGTCACCGGGGCCTCACCCTGGAGCCAGGCCTGGGGTGGCCGGGTTTTCCCCCACGGGGCCCGGCCGGGCTCAGCCCGAAAGAGCGACGCAGGGCCGTCCTCACGTGGGCCCACCACCCGCAGGAGGATCCATATGGGGCCGGTGCAAAGAGATCTGGGCGGCAGTCGAAGGCAGGGGCCTCGACGACCGGATCTCCAGACATGGAGACTAGCTCTGGGGACATGGAATGTCACCTCGCTGGGGGGAAAGGAGCCTGAGCTTGTGCGGGAGGTTGAGTGTTACCGACTAGATATAGTCGGCCTCACCTCCATGCACAGTTTGGGCTCTGGAACCCAACTCCTTGAGAGGGGCTGGACTCTTCATTTCTCTGGTGTTGGCCGCAGGGAGCGGCGGCGGGCTGGTGTGGGCTTGCTCATTGCCCCACAGCTCAGCCACTGTGTGCTGGAGTTCACCCCGGTGAACGAGAGGGTCGCGTCCCTGCGCCTTCGGGTCGGGGACAGGTCTCTCACTGTGGTGTCGGCCTACGGGCTGAACAGCAGTGCAGAGTACCCGGCCTTCTTGGAGTCCTTGGGAGGGGGTACTAGACAGTGCACCGACCGGGGACTCCGTTGTTCTCCTGGGGGACTTCAACGCCCACGTGGGCAACGACAGTGACACTTGGAGAGGGGTGATTGGGAGGAACGGCCTCCCTGATCTGAACCCGAGTGGTGTTTTGTTATTGGACTTCTGTGCTAGTCACGGTGTCCATAACGAACACCATGTTCGAGCACAAGGGTGTCCATAAGTGCACGTGGCACCAGGACACCCTAGGTCGGAGGTCGATGATCGACTTTGTAGTCGTGTCATCAGACCTCTGGCCGCGTGTCTTGGACACTCGGGTGAAGAGAGGGGCTGAGCTGTCAACTGATCACCACCTGGTTGTGAGTTGGGTTCACTGGCGGAGGAGGAAGCCGGAAAGACCTGGCAGGCCCAAGCGTGTAGTGAGGGTCTGTTGGGAACGTCTGGCAGAGCCCTCTGTCAGAGGGACTTTCAACTCGCACCTCCGGGAGGACTTCTCCCAGATTCCGGGGGAGGCTGGAGATATGGAGTCCGAGTGGGCTTCATTCTCGGCATCTATTGTTGATGCGGCTGCTCGGAGCTCAGGGCGTAAGGTCTGTGGTGCCTGTCGCGGCGGCAACCCCAGAACCCGGTGGTGGACACCGGAAGTAAGGGACGCCGTCAAGCTGAAGAAGGAGTCCTATCGGGCCTTGCTGGCTCGGGGGACTCCTGAAGCAGCTGACGGGTACCGGCGGGCCAAGCGTGCTGCAGCCCGTGTGGTTGTGGAGGCAAAAACTCGGA